CAGTGCCCTTCTCAGGTGGTACCTGAACGGGCTTCAGGGCAGTGAAACCTGCAGCTGCCGGACGGGGTGCCTTTCATGCCAAGATTGGGGTGACAACCAGACTTCTTAGACATTGTCCAAACCACCAGCCTGCAATGTAGCCAATCAAAATCAATAAAATACCCTCTAGTCGAAGGAAGTTTTGAAGTCAAACTTCCGACAATATGGACAGATGAAAAGCAGAGCAGGGCAGAGGCAGAGAGAAGAGGAAGATTAGAAGCGAGAAGATCAGAAGAGAAAGAGTAAGAAGAAAGAAGATGCAGATGCGCGAAAAGGTAGGAAAGTCGCGAAACACTGTGTTTTTCCAATGATTTGGGGCTCGGGAGGGTCGAAAAGTAGGCTCGCTAAAGCGGCGGGTGCGGAGCCAGCTGGCCAGATGAGAGATGAAAAAGTGCACACCATTGTGGCGCGAAGCACATTTGGAAGTCAAAATGTACAAAACACACCAGGTCCGGACCACTTTTGGCAGTTGAGATGTCGAAAAAGTGCACGCCGTTGTGGCGCGAAGCACATTTCCAAGTCAAAATGTACAAAACACACCATGGTCGGACCACTTTTGGAAGTTGAGATGTCGAAAAAGTGCACGCCGTCGTGGCGCGAAGCACATTTCGAAGTCGAAAGTGTTAAAAACATTTAAAAAACTGGCGGTCTCGGACCACTTTTGGAAGTTGCGATGTCGAAAAAGTGCACGCCGTTATGGCGCGAAGCACATTTCCAAGTCAAAATGTACAAAACACACCATGCTCGGAGCACTTTTGGAGGTTCAGATGTAGGAAAAGTGCACGCCGTTGTGGCGCGAAGCACATTTCGAAGTCAAAATGTTAAAAACACTAGGGGTTTGGACCACTTTTGGAGGTTCAGATGTCTCTTCGCTTCGCTTCACTACAATAGACGACATCACACTACACTCCACTACACTACACTACACTACACTCCACAACACTACAACTACAACAACGCAACTACACTCCACTACACTCCATTCCACTCCACTACACTAAATTACACTACACTACACTACATTACACTACACTACACTACAACTACAACTAGACAACTACACTTCACTACACTCCATTACACTACACTACACTACATTACACTGAATGACACTGCACCACAGATAGACAGGTAGACAGATAGACAGATTGATAGATAGATAGATAGATAGGCAGATAGACAGGTAGACAGCTAGACAGATAGACAGACAGATAGATAGATAGATAGACAGATAGACAGCTAGACAGATTAGACAGATAGACAGATGAAAGAGAGAGAGAGAGATAGATAGATAGATCGATCGATAGATAGATAGATACGTAGAAGATAGATAGGTAGGTGGGTAGATAGTCAGAGAAAGAGAGAGAAAGAGAGGAGACCTCAACCACCTTTCGGTCCATCAGTGGCTTCGCTCTGCCATCCCTGATTCACAACAACCAGTCTCTCCTATAGGTTTCCTATTTTTGAAACTTCCGCCACCGCCTTGTGCGGTACTACTGGTAATTTAACATAGCTATGGAAAATGGCCATTTATAGTTGATTTACCCATTAAAAATGGTGGTTTTGGATAGTTATGTAAATGTTTACCAGAGGGTCAAAGCTCCCGATTTCAGCATCTTTCAGCCCCCATGGTCCCTGCAGGGTCGTGCCGTCGGTGCACTGGGCCGCTGGTCACCGCCGTCCCTGCTGCGCCTTCTCCCTTGCTGGCCGTGAGCGCAGAGGGTTCCTTGGGGCGATCCATTCTGGTCTTCTGGTTGCCATGTTCCAAACCCAGGGTTATAATGGTTAATATATGGTTAATTATGGTTAATATATGGTTAATTATGGTTAATATATGGTTATATAATGGTTATTATACTGTTAAAATGGTTAATAACAGATATATATATATATATATATATTGTTAATAATGGTCATCAGTAATGGCTAATATAATGGTTAAAACCCAGGGTTAATATACTCTTAATAATGGTTAATATATGGTTATTATATGGTTAATGATGGTTAATGATGATGGTTAATGATGATGGTTAATGATGGTTAATAATTATCTGGTTGGTTCATATCTATTATATATTCATATCATCATCCATAAATGTCATAAATCATAATATGAACAGAAATATGGGATGATATGGGCTATGAATATCATAATACACAATCATAAATACTGGTTGGTGCTTGACCTACCCCTCTGAAAAATATGAGTTCGTCAGTTGGGATGATTATTCCCAACATATGGAAAATATGGAAAAATAAAAACCGTGTTCCAAACCACCAACCAGTTATACTTATCATCACTTCTCCGCATGAATGGGATACTTACCCCCAAGCCTAACCAATCTAACCATCATTCCAGTGACGTCGCGGCGTGAGTTCGTTATGATTTATCCACAATAATGATGTTCAATATTCAAATGTGATGGCTTGATTGTCACCGTTAAAATAACCATGAATTGGGGGTTGCCCAATTTCTATTCTAGACAAAACCATATAACAAAGGTGTAAAACATACCCTCTGGTAATCAAACATACTCTGCTGGAAAATCTCCTTTAGTTCGATCATCGGGATTTTCCAGCTCCCTGCAGGCCCCATGTTTGACTACCCGAAGGTAACACCTATAACTAATAGATATTATTCTACTAATTATTCTACTTACTTTTCTACTTCATCTAATATTATCCAACAATAACATACTAGTTGGGGTGGGCTATGATAGAACACCTATCAAAATCTGGTTAAAAACATGGCGCTGGTCACTTGGCTCCCCCAGCTGCTATCGCTTCGGCCGCCTCCTCAATCATCCGAACCGCTTCGGCCTCCAATTTGCGGCGAAGTGATGAAGGGGAGAAACCTCCAATTTTAGCGGTTTAGTGATGTTTAGTGTATATTGTTGGGTAGACCCCTACAGAATTGACACTTCCAGATGTGCACAAAAATTATGTAAATTGAGTTTTGGTTTGCAAAAGACTAACCCCAATTCAAATTTGCCATGGAGAAGCACCAAAATCCATGCCACAATTTTGAAGGTGTCCCATTTTGTTTACCCCATTAATCCATAAAATCCATATATCTGGATTGGTAGTGAAAGCCATTCCCGTAAGAATAATGGATCTACTTGGGGCATGTCATCCATTCTTCAACCAGCTGGTTGGTCAGGGACCGAGTATCTGGGAAGATAGAGGAGCACTGACAAAATAAATTCATGTCAGTTGGTACCCTCTGGTAATTTAATGTAGCTATGGAAAATCACCATTTTCAATGGGAAAATCCACTATAAATCACCATTTTCAATAGCTATGTTAAATTACCAGAGGGTATGTTAAGTTTGTGTCCCAGAGGACCACTCAGGTGATGAAAATTGGAAGCATATCGAAACCCGGCTTCCAGATTGTTTGATTCTTTGATTCAATTTCCTTCCACCACGTACCCTCTCAAACGAACGTCCACTCCACCCAAGTTTACCAGAGCATCACTCGTGCTTGATTGTTTGCAAGTTCAAGTGAACCTTAATAGTGCAGGATGCACTTAAAAGTTACAATGCGTTACAACCGGTGTGCAGGACTCCACTGACCCTTTGCCATGCAGTTACTCCCAGTGTTGGTTCTCCCAGTGTTCGCCATCTCCGCCTGGTCAGGATGCCCGTAATTTCCATCCGTCAGCATCCCGAGCTTCGTGATCTGCTCACGCAGTTCCTGGGTGATTTCCCTAGTTCAGTGCCAAAGGATGCCACTTGGGCTGTCTGTAACAGGGCTTCAACCATTGACCATCTGGTTATGACTAACATAGCCACATAGCCATGGAAAATCCTCAAAATAAATGGAGGTTTTAATGGGAAAATCATCTATAAATGGTCCATTTTCCATGGCTATGTTAAATAACCAGAGGGTAGGTCGGTCTGTCTGTCTAAGAGTCTAAGAATTTAGTGTGGAAAAAAGATGAAAAAAGGCCATCTGGTGTTGATAAAATACTGTTCTCCATTGAATTGCCATTTGGATCCAGGTACACACCATTCGCAAACACACCTATGTTTGAACCCAGCTGTAAATTGGATAATCCTAGTTCGGGGACATCTGAACCATGCTTTTCAACAACAAATAATTAACCACTTTCTAAGGGAGATGATTCTCCAAGTAGAATAAGTAGAGGTTCGACATGAAACAGCCGGTTGAGATTCGGATATATATCTGTGCATATGTATATACATAAGTATATAAGGATATATAAGATTGTATAAGGATAGTGTGCATCTCTCTCTCTCTCTCTCGCTCGCTCTCTCTCTCTCTTGCTGAATCCATCCGTGCAAATTTGGGCTCCCGTGCTCGGCCCTTCTTGCCTGCCTGCGGAGGTACGGGCGTGGCTAAGAGTAGATTTCCTTGCAGAAAATGGACCATAAGAGACTATGATATAGTCTTGAAACATGGGGATGAGAATTCAAACCCTGGAGACATCCTTGTATTCTCTATTTATCTCTGTGTGTAAATGTGATATTATATCATATATATATATATATGCCGCATATGATATTGCATAAAATCTTAGCACGATACGAATTCCAAAAAGAATCCAGAAGTCGTCCATCCAAGTAACGAGTCATATCGATTCATCAAGGATTAAAGTACCCCTTGGGGCCGTAGTCATGACACTTCAGCTACTTACAGTATTATTGATGATCTATTTTTTAAGCCAGTGATATTGGCTAAACCACGGCACTTTCTCTGCAAAAAATATCCATCTTTTCAGGGATGTTGCAATTGTCAAACACATGGCTCTGGCTCAAACATAGGGCACCAGTGGGCCCGTAAAAATTATCAATTTATAATTTATATCAATCCAATGTGATTTAAGATCACTTAAGTGAAACCATCCAATTTGGGCAGTAAGTTTCAGATAGTTTCAGCTATCCCCGCAGCACAACCCGATGGCAAAACCCCGTGCCCCAACGGCCCGTTGCCGCCTCTTCTGGCGTCACGTCGTCTTCAGCACCCAGGACCGTGACCGCAGTGGCCTTGCCATCCAGGCAGCACAGCTACTGAGACCCCAAAAATCATCGAACAGTCTTGATAGGTATATATATGTACCACTATATGTTGGTAGGATTCTCTTTTCCTATCTTTCTTTTTGGGGTTGCTATAAAACATGAAATTTTGTTAATTTTGAGTGGTTGGAAATGGTTGGAATGTGCACAGCTCGTTGAACTACCCTCTGGTGGCCACAAACCTGGCCATGGAAATCCACCATTTGTAGATGAGTTCCCCATTCAATTCTCCATTTAGGCGATTTCCCAGCTACCCTCTGGTAATGGCTGACATAGCTATGGAAAATCACCAGTTTTAATGGGAAAATCCACTATAAATGGTAATTTTCAATAGCTATGTTCGTTTACCAGAGGGTAGATCCAGCTAGTCATGTTTGATCACCGAAGGGTAAACCCACCAGCCACGGCTGAGTGGACACCCTGCCATAGGCTAAGGATGTTTCCAGCTCGGCTTGACAGGGGAAACGTTGGTGTGGCTCACGAACCGGGCACGAAAAGCAGCAAGGGTACACCATGTAACATCCCAATTACCTTGGAGTATTAAAACATCTTAAAACAGTTTCCAGTATGTCATGCCTTAGGTGGTCCAAATTTGTTGAGCCATAAAGCTGGCATCGTCCCATTCCCCAACGACAAGGTCCAGGCTCGGGTCATGGAAGCCTTGCTGCTACCAGCCTCAGAGTTTCTGGTCATCTCCCGTAGGCATCTGTAACATGGCGTTAAGGGTATGATATAGCAAGCTAAGTGTGATGTTACGAACTAGAGGATATCGAATGTCCAATGTGTATTGTTATATTATACTATACCCTACTATACGATATTGTATTATATATATATATATATTGTAGTGTGTTATACAAACATATAATATAGACATAGACTGACAGCCTCTTGTAGACTAAAAATCGGGAGATATCGGATATGCCCTCACATGTTTATAGACAAAATTCCTAAGGGGATACTGAGAACATAGATGTCTTATTTTCTTATGATATATTATGCACGTGAATTATGCACATCTGCCCCAAATCTCTCCCATTCCCCATCCCTGAGCGTGCAACCCCATGCAAGACCCGGAGAAGGCACTGGGTCGCCTCCACGTCGGTCTCGCAAAATGCCTTTGGGATGGTCCCCCCTGTGAAGATGATGCCGATGATGCCATTTGGGATGGTCTACGATTTTTGATTTACCACATTTTACCGGGAATATCTACATGACCATCCACCATCATCCCGCTTCAGGGCAAACGAACATCATTAAACGAACAGCCGAATATGTACCCTCTGGTAAACTAACAGTTCGCTCTTGAAAATTACCCAGTCGAAATCGTGGATTTTCCCATTAAAACCATAGAAATTGTGGATTTTCCCATGGAAAACCATGGTGATTTTCTTTCCAGTTCGCAAACTGTCAGCCATTACCAATCAGGGATTCAGTGATCTGGTGGGGATCATGATCCATCAGCAAATGGTATAAGTTTGGTAGATACCTATAAGATACACTATTCGATGTATAACTTATCCCATTTGGGGATGAACATATATTTTGATATTCGACATATGTAAGCTTACATAAATTTGGGTCTTATCCCCATCAACTTCTCCATGCTTGCGTTAAACGGGAAAAACATGACAGGCCCAATTTTCCACAGCTCCCCAGATCATCGTCTTGGTTACTATCCTCATTGCTTCTGGATCGTTAAATCGTGGGTCTTATCCCCATGAAATCCAATACCTTGCTGCAAAACGGCAGTCTGTGGGTCAAACTCCGATAACCATCGCCAGTTATTCCTATCTATGGTTGTCTGGAATATCATATTCCTGGCTGAATCATATATAATAATCACTAACCTGAAAATAGCTGTTACCATGCAGCCACTTGGGGATGATTCCCTTAATCCCGAACATCATTCCAGTAACGTCACATTGAAGTTATCATATTCACTCCCAGTTATTGGATGGCTGCCATGTCCAATATCAGCACATCTGGCCTCAACGGCTGCTGCGGCCTTTTCCACCTTGTCAAAAGCTTCCTTGGCCCTGACCTGGAGAATCTCAGTTTGGACAGTTTGGAGCAAACAAAAAGATCTCCGCCTGGTAAGTTTCGGTATCGATCTTAATTTACTGGATGGTAAAGACGAAGGAACATGGACAAATGGAACACCCAAAATTGCAAAAAAAAGTAGTGATGGGTGATTGCACAAAAAAAATACAAAAATACAATGGCAACTTGACAGACTCAACATTTCGGCGGACATTTGTGTAGACTTAAATGAACGTTCACTCATTTCATCTACTGTAATTTATAATTGCTTAGCCTCTTTTAGACATTTTGTACAGCGTCTTTAGTGGTCAGGGTTATGCTTCAATATTTCATTGAAGTTTGAGGGCAACCCACAAAGCTCCCCCGAACAACAACGGGCTTAACAAGTCCCATTCGTAGGGTTGATAGTTGTTTATGACAACAACCCCTGTAACAAGGCCTTGCTTTATTGGGGTTAAAACCCACTTTATCATGGGATGGTAACCCCAACAATTCATCCAACACTCCATTTCCGTGAGCCCCTGAATAACAAGGGTTTACGAAGTCGAATTTATAGGGACCCCCAATGACGAGAAGCCTATTCCCAGAAGCTTCCCATACGGAATAGGGGCTTCTTATGGGAGTAGTATGGGAGGCTTATGGGGATGGGGGTCCCATCATTGGGGGTCCCTATAAATTCCACCAACTAAGGGCGAATGTTAAACACCCACAGCGTACCCTCCCGTAATTCGTAACATACTTACTAACTATGGAAAAGGGCCCATGCAAACCAAATATTTTAATGATGACTTTAACCACAGCTATGTTCAATTCCCAGAGGCTGTTAGCAATCACCATTGCGCTAAAATATCAGCACTTGATGTAACAATATGTACAGAAACGCATCCTTAATATAATATAATTACACTTAAAGAGTGAATTGTTGACAAAATAGCGCGGACAGTTACAGCTATAATTGTAGTTGCCAACCTGAGAAGAACCAAAACGAAAGGCAGTGCCCTTTTTGGACCGCATGTGGGTAAGCCGAGGTGAGGAGCTGCTAGTCTCGTTGGCACCTGGCAGAACCGGAGTTATGGATTGGTTTGGCAAGATGTATCTGGATGAGGGAGAAAAGATATATATATTTAGTGAGTTAAACATGTATATCATATATGAGGAATGAAGCAAATGTCACTGGAAATAATCAGCATGTATAAACCCATATTTCACCCTACCAATGACCATTGTTGGCCACAGTAAGGCAAGATGAGATATGCACAATCTCTGGACATTGATAGTATTGGGGATGTACATTTGGGATCTGTTCAGAGATGAGTATTTTCAAGACTGTTTAGAACTTGCGCGAATGACAAAGATCAATATGTTCCCAGAGCTGTTTCATACGGAACCATGTTGAATCAGCGTCATAGTACCATTTTCCGCCTGAAAAACTTTTCCCGAAACGGAAGCCTTGGTCAGTCACTATTCAGTACTGGTACCATTGATTGTACACAAATCGATTTTCCTGCCACATGCATTTCTCTTCATTGGGTTCTCACCCCAAATGATAGCCGAGGTCGCAGAGCCTGTACCAAGAGCTATGTTTGCTTCACGCAGCGCCAGGTACTGTGAGCAGACCTGCCGCCAGTGGCGAGACTTGTGTATAACTGTGGGTTTGACATCTCGACTGGCTACAACTATCATGGCCAATGTTGATGTTTGGTATCGGATAGAAGGAAAATCTTTTAACAACAGGTATTGATAAGAGAATTGGAGGTATGTAACAACGATTCGATCCAATTACCTCCAATTGTGTAACGAAGTGTTATTGTTAACGAAGTGTAACGAATCGTTGTTACATACCTCCAATTCTCTTATCAATACCTGTTGTTAAAAGATTTTCCTTCTATCCGATACCAAACATCAACATTGGCCATGATAGTTGTAGCCAGTCGAGATGTCAAACCCACAGTTATACACAAGTCTCGCCACTGGCGGCAGGTCTGCTCACAGTACCTGGCGCTGCGTGAAGCAAACATAGCTCTTGGTACAGGCTCTGCGACCTCGGCTATCATTCGGGGTGAGAACCCAATGAAGAGAAATGCATGTGGCAGGAAAATCGATTTGTGTACAATCAATGGTACCAGTACTGAATAGTGACTGACCAAGGCTTCCGTTTCGGGAAAAGTTTTTCAGGCGGAAAATGGTACTATGACGCTGATTCAACATGGTTCCGTATGAAACAGCTCTGGGAACATATTGATCTTTGTCATTCGCGCAAGTTCTAAACAGTCTTGAAAATACTCATCTCTGAACAGATCCCAAATGTACATCCCCAATACTATCAATGTCCAGAGGTTGTGCATATCTCATCTTGCCTTACTGTGGCCAACAATGGTCATTGGTAGGGTGAAATATGGGTTTATACATGCTGATTATTTCCAGTGACATTTGCTTCATTCCTCATATATGATATACAGGTTTAACTCACTAAATATATATCCTTTCTCCCTCATCCAGATACATCTTGCCAAACCAATCCATAACTCCGGTTCTGCCAGGTGCCAACGTGATGTCCAACTTGTGCAAATCGCCGCTTGCGGCACAAGTTGGTGCAGGAACAGGTAGACGACCTCCGGGTCCAAAACCACATTTGTCTGAAATTCCCCGCCCAGATCACCCACAAACTCTGGCCAAATATATGGCCTGACACCGGTGTTTTCCTAGCACCAATCCTGGTGATTGTCAGCGTATTGCCGTAACACTCAGGATGTAGCGTGAGATGCCCCAAGAAAGGAAAAAGTAGGTGAGCAGAGGTCCAAACTTCACATCTGCACAGACCCAGAATCTGGATCCCAACATCACCAAATCTGCACCAAATCTGTACCAAATCGACCCCTCGACCTCTGTGATCATCTGGCCGCTACAAGAGCTTGCAACAGCAAATAGGCCATATCACAAAGAATGCCAGGTAGGATGCCAGATAGACTGCCAGATAAAATGTCAGAAAGAATGTCAGAAAAACTGCCAGATAGAATGTCAGATCAAATGCCAAATAGAAATTGGCGATTCTTTCCACCATCCCAGGATCCTTTGTCATTTCATAGGACATTTTATACCATTATGTGCCACTGGTTACGCCATCATGATAAAGGCGCTTAACCCAGACACTCCCCCGAAACTAGTCTCCAAAACGACCCCGCCCAACGGACCAGGGGGGAATCGATACCCACCGTCAGCAAATTGCCACACGGTACATAACCCTGACAACGGCTTCCCTGGACCACCCTCTGTGCAGGGGTACAGCGAGATTTCGTGCCCGAAAACGGGGCTCTGCCCCCAGACCCCCTATTCTCCCTTCGGTCGCAAAAAGCAACGAGTCAGTCCTCCGGACTGCCTTTCGTAATAATGTTACAGCTAAATTTGAGTTAATCACCGTTAGTTCAATGGAATGTAAATGAACTGTATCAAATTTCGGCAAAGAAAACAAACCGATGAAACCATGTGAAAGCAAGAATCGGGATGAGCATGGATGAGTCATGATTCCCCTTTAATATAAACCATCATTACCGCCATTTATTGAGGATAGGGATCCCTGGTCACTGGCAGTTCCCCTTTGCCAGTTCCGCGCTTCACCTTCAGCTCTTCGGGTGCCTTGTCTGGATGGACCTGGCGCTAGATCCTATGGATCAAATGGTCTGAGTCTATGTTCACCCAATATACCCAATATGCTTTTTGATCTACAGTATATCCATCCATGCATCCATCCATGAGTCTATCTGTTTATCTGTCTATCTAATGTATCTATGTGCCTATCTACCAATCTTTCTATTCACCTTCTACAGGCGTAGCCGTCAAGTTCGGCTTCTACAGGCGCAGCTGTCAAGTTTGGCTGTTTCACAGGGATGCTCAAATAAATGTGTGTCATGATATGTCCAGTCAAAAACAAATGCGGCTATTTCTGGAGTTATGTTTAAAGATACTTCATGACATGTCCATTCCCGCAAAACTAAATTGCAGCAATGAAGCTATGTCCGATATTCCATCAGCTGCTTCCAGGAGGCTACAGAAGAGCTTCTACCAGAAGAACCCCCCAAACTGCGGGGTCATACTTACTAATGACATTCTATATGCATATATATATAATGTACATAAAGATACATAAAGCATCATAAAGCATAATATAGATGGCATATTACCCTTTGGTAATTTAACATTTATAGAATGGTGATTTTCCATAGTTGTTTGTATGTTTACCAGAGGGTAATGCACAAACAAAACATCAACATATGTAAACCGGTTTACAGTTTTTAGGCGAGCCTTCAAGGCCAGCTTTTTGTAGCTACTTCGGGCGGCCTTGCCATCCACAGTGTCCTGCGCAGGACGCCAAGGAATGGGGACAAAAACCAACAAAAGTGGGGACAAAAGTGGGGCTTTAACCAACTTTAACCGACCAAACATATGGATATATATATATATATATAATTTAATGGTGTTGGAAAATTTGGTATACCATGGTATACCCCCCTATCTATGGCCTCTTTGGATCTAATTATACAATTCAATACATTATCATGGATATATCATGGATATATCCCCCTTGCCCCTGCGCAACAGGTTCAGCCCGACCTCGGGGCTCAGCCCCAGTGTGGCGAAGACGTCTGGGGACGCTTCCAGAACTCGTCGCACCTGGCCGGAAGGGAAGCGGCTTCCCGGGCTGAGACCTGGACTGGTAAGTGGGGATGGCCCATGAATCGTGATGAATGGTGGTAAACAGTGGTTGATCATGCTGACAAAATGGTGATTAATGGTGATTAATGGGGAATCAAATCTGAATAAAATGTGAATAACATGTGAAAAAATGTGACAAATGGTGAATGATGATGACCCTCTGGTCATTTCACCGAACTGGAAAATCACCATGTTTTTTATAGGCAAAACATCATAAGTAAATCACCTATAAACTATTTATAAATGGATCATGTTCCATGGCTATGTTGAACAACCAGAGGGTAACAGTCCGATGATTAGTCTGATGATTTACCGATTGAAACTGGTGATTTTGGGCCACATATTCAGGGGACGGTCAGCGGTCAGTGGTAAAAATTAATGTGATTCCCCAAACTGCCTAGACCCAGCAAGTCATCAGTAGCTCACACCCTACCAGGTAAGATTGCAGTAAGTCCATCCTCCCCGCATCATTGAAGTTAAGTTGGTCATGGTCGGGCGCCATAGCCTCCTCGTCAGCAGTGGCTTCTTCTTGGATCTGCCACTCCCTGGGTCTCAGGCTCTTGTGGACCTGAGATGTGACATGAGAACCCTGGGAAGCCCCAGGATTCACATCACTCGGATTTCTTGAGAAATCATGTCGTTAACCGTTAATCTTGATTCGATGCACATATCCAAGTTTGTCATTTTTTTTGGCCTAATAACTTCATTCTATCATATATTATCATATATCATCATATATCATCATAATTTATCATATATTATCATATCGTATCATATATTATCATATATATTTACTATGGAAACTCATCATTTTGAGTAGGGCAAATCATGGGCAAATCATCCTATTGCTTTCTATCTGCCATGGCGGCGCCTTCGAGGCCTCCTTCGACCCCCGCGCAACGCCAAGCGCCAAGGGGCAAAGGGTGCCTGCACGACACCGCAGCCCGAAGCCTCACCCTCGATCTCGGCACCGACGGCCTGGCGATGCCAATGGATTCGTTGGTTTTATGGTCAATTCATTGACATTTTATATGGCCAATTACCATCTGGTTATTTAACATAGACCCTGAAAATGACCAATTATTTTATGGCCAATTCAACCAGATACCATTCGTTAATATCATTAACCATAATGGTAGTTTATAATCACCATTAATGGTCATGATATCATTGGTAATATGGTTTTATATCATTATGGCCAATTAATTGGTTTTACCATCTGGTTATGACTAACAGTTTGCCATGGACAGATCCACCATTTTTAATAGGTAAACCATCTATAAATGGGCCATTTTCCATGGCTATGTTAAATAACCAGAGGATATATCATTATGACCATTGACCATAATTCGTTAATTAAACCAGACAATTATATAATATGGCTAGGGACAATTATTTAATATGGCTAGGGACAATTATGACAATATTGGTTTATGGTCAATTCAACCAGATACCATTCGCTAATATCATTAATGTTGGATACTGATTAGCGTGGGGATACTGAATTGTGTCCACAGACCTCAAAATTATTCTGTAACTCTGGAAATGATCGAGGGTACAGTTTTGTGTCCACAGGATTTTGGTGTAAGTTTTTTTTTCATTTTTTTGTTTTTTAGTTTTTAATTGTTTTTTATTTTATTTTAAAATTTTAAAATATTTTTTATTTTTATTTTTAATTAATTAATTAATTAATTATAGTAATTTTTAATTTAATTATTTTTTATTTTATTTTAAATTATTTTCATTTTTAATTATAATAATTTTTACTTTAATTATTATTTTTAATTATATTGGTTTTATTATTTTGTAAAAATGTGTCAGGATACACAATTGTGTCATGGTGTCAGGATACACAATTGTGTCTTGGTCTTTTTTTGTTGTTCAAACATTTTTCATTTTTTTCATTTGTTTAAAGTTTTTTCCTTTTACTTTTCATTTTCCATCATTGAAATTTTCCAGATGCCTTCCACAGAAAATTACATCCAGGTACAAAATAGTGTGGTTTGTTTGGAGGGTACACTATTGTGTCCAGCTGCTTTCCTGAGGTCATGATTTTTTGATTTTTTTCAATCATTTCCTTTACCTTTTCCTTTGCTAGCTAAAGTGTTTTCCTTTCAATCAATTTCTTTCTTAGTTTCTTTCATTTGAAATTCTCAGAAATGACCAGTTTCCCAAAATATATGATGCCTTATTAAAACCCAATTAAAAAACATCACACAAACAATTTTTCAAGGGGGTAGTCCATGAGCAACCCTGATACAGAATAGTGTGGTTTGTTTGGAGGGTACACTATTGTGTCCAGCTGCTTCCTGAGGTCATGATTTTTTTGTTTTTTTTCAATCATTTCCTTTACCTTTTCCTTTGCTAGCTAAAGTGTTTTCCTTTTAATTAATTCCTTTCTTAGTTTCTTTCATTTGAAATTCTCAGGAATGACCAGTTTCCCAAAATATATGATGCCTTATTAAAACCAAATTAAAAAACATCACTCAAACAATTTTTCAAGGGGGTAGTCCATGAGCAACCCTGATACAGAATAGTGTGGTTTGTTTGGAGGGTACACTATTGTGTCCAGCTGCTTTCCTGAGGTCATGATTTTTTGATTTTTTTCAATCATTTCCTTTACCTTTTCCTTTGCTAGCTAAAGTTTTTTCCTTTTAATTAATTCCTTTCTTAGTTTCTTTCATTTGAAATTCTCAGAAATGCCCAGTTTCCCAAAATATATGATGCCTTATTAAAACCCAATTAAAAAACATCACTCCAACAATTTTTCAAGGGGGTAGTCCATGAGCAACCCTGATACACAATAGTGTGGTTTGTTTGGAGGGTACACTATTGTGTCCAGCTGCTTTCCTGAGGTCGTGATTTTTTGATTTTTTCAATCATTTCCTTTACCTGTTCCTTTGCTAAAGTTTTTTTCTTTTAATTACTTAATTACTTTCTTAGTTTCTTTCATTTGAAATTCTCAGAAATGCCCAGTTTCCCAAAATATATGATGCCTTATTAAAACCCAATTAAAAAACATCACTCCAACAATTTTTCAAGGGGGTAGTCCATGAGCAACCCTGATACAGAATAGTGTGGTTTGTTTGGAGGGTACACTATTGTGTCCAGCTGCTTCCTGAGGTCATGATTTTTTGATTTTTTTCAATCATTTCCTTTACCTTTTCCTTTGCTAAAGTTTTTTTCTTTTAATTGCTTAATTACTTTCTTAGTTTCTTTCATTTGAAATTCTCAGAAATGCCCAGTTTCCCAAAATACATGATGCTTTATTAAAACTCAATTAAAAAACATCACCCAAACAATTTTTCAAGGGGGTAGTCCATGAGCAACCCTGATACACAATAGTGTGGTTTGTTTGGAGGCTACACTATTGTGTCCAGCTGCTTCCTGGGGTTATGTTTTTTTTCAACCATTTCCTTTTCCTTTTCCTTTGCTAAAGTTTTTTTCTTTTATGGTATTTCTATGGTATTACTATTGGATTTCTATGGAATTCCTATGAGGTCTCCATGATGTTTCTATGATATTTCTGGAGGATTTCTATGGGATTTCTGAAGGGGTGCTATGGGAGTTCTATGGTATTCTTATGGGATTTCCATTGGATTCCTATGGGATGTTTATGGTATTTCTATGATCTTTCCTGTGGAATTTCTATTGGATTCCTGTGGGTTTTCCAAGGTATTTCCATGATGTTTCTATGATCTTTCTATGGGATTTCTGTGAGATTCCTATGGGATTTCCATGTTATTTCTATGATCTTTCTATGGGATTTCTGTGAGACTCCTATGGAATTTCCATGTTATTTCTATGGTCTTTCTATGGGATTTCTGTGAGATTCCTATGGGATTTCCATGTTATTTCTATGATCTTTCTATGGGATTTCTGTGAGATTCCTATGGGATTTCCATTTTATTTCTATGATCTTTCTATGGGATTTCTGTGAGATTCCTATGGGATTTCCATGTTATTTCTATGATCTTTCCATGGGATTTCTGTGAGATTCCTATGGGATTTCCATGTTATTTCTATGATCTTTCTATGGAATTTCTGTGAGATTCTTATGGGATTTCCATGTTATTTCTATGATCTTTCTATGGGATTTCTGTGAGATTCCTATGGGATTTCCATGTTATTTCTATGATCTTTCTATGGGACTTCTGTGAGATTCCTATGGGATTTCCATGGTATTTCTATAGTCTTTCTATGGGATTTCTGTGAGATTCCTATGGGATTTCCATGTTATTTCTATGATCTTTCTATGGGGTTTCTGTGAGATTCCTATGGGATTTCCATGTTATTTCTATGGTCTTTCTATGGGATTTCTGTGAGATTCCTATGGGATTCCATGTTATTTCTATGATCTTTCTATGAGATTTCTGTCAGATTCTTATGGGATTTCCATGTTATTTCTATGATCTTTCTATGGGATTTCTGTGAGATTCCTATGGGATTTCCATGTTATTTCAGTTCTTTCTATGATCTTTCTATGGGATTTCTGTGAGATTCTTATGGGATTTCCATGTTATTTCTATAATCTTTCTATGGGATTTCTGTGAGATTCCTATGGGATTTCCATGTTATTTCTATGATCTTTCTATGGGGCTTCTGTGAGATTCCTATGGGATTTCCATGTTATTTCTATGATCTTTCTATGGGGTTTCTGTGAGATTCTTATGGGATTTCCATGTTATTTCTATGATCTTTCTATGGGATTTCTGTGAGATTCCTATGGGATTTCCATGTTATTTCTATGATCTTTCCATGGGATTTCTGTGAGATTCCTATGGGATTTCCATGTTATTTCTATGATCTTTCTATGGGATTTCTGTGAGATTCCTATGGGATTTCCATGTTACTTCTATGATCTTTCTATGGGATTTCTGTGAGATTCTTATGGGATTTCCATGTTATTTCTATGATCTTTCTATGGGATTTCTGTGAGATTCCTATGGGATTTCCATGTTATTTCTGTTATTTCTATGATCTTTCTATGGGATTTCTGTGAGATTCCTATGGGATTTCCATGTTATTTCTATGATCTTTCTATGGGATTTCTGTGAGATTCCTATGGGATTTCCATGTTATTTCTATGATCTTTCTATGGGATTTCTGTGAGATTCCTATGGGATTTCAATGTTATTTCTATGATCTTTCTATGGGATTTCTGTGAGATTCCTATGGGATTTCCATGTTATTTCTATGATCTTTCTATGGGGTTTCTGTGAGATTCTTATGGGATTTCCATGTTATTTCTATGATCTTTCTATGGGATTTCTGTGAGATTCTTATGGGATTTCCATGTTATTTCTATGATCTTTCTACGGGATTTCCATTTCCCTTTACATTTTCCTTTGCTAAAGCTTTTTGTTATTTTCTCTCAATAGTTTCTTTTATTTAGGATCTCAGAAATGCCAATTCCCAAAATATATGATGCCTTATTAAAACCCGAATTAAAAAACATCACTCAAACAATTTTTTTCAAGGGGGTGTAGTCCAGTTATGAGCAACCCGATACAGAATAGTTGTGGTTTGTTTGAGGGGTACAATATGTGTCAGCTGCTTCCTGAGGTTATGTTTTTTTTTCAGCGCATTTCTTTTCCTTTTCCTTTTGCTAAAGTGTTTCCTTTTACTGCTTTCATTTTGCTTGGAATCAAAAACCAAAGGCTTCCAAAGGATAGGTTAGCCAAGCAAAAAAACATGAAGTTGATTCATGATACAGAATAGTGTGGTTTGTTTGAGGGTACACTATTGTGTCCAGCTGCTTCCTGAGGTTATGTTTTTTTTCAACCTTTTCCTTTTCCTTTTCCTTTGCTAAAGTTTGTTTCCTTTTACTTAGCTTCATTTTTCTTGGAATCAAAACCAAAGGCTTTCCAAAGGATTAGTTTTAGCCAACCAAAAAAAAACATGAATGATCATGATACACAATAGTATGGTTTGTTTGAGGGTACACTATTGTGTCCAGCTGCTTCCTGAGGTGATTTTTTTAAAACATTCCCTTTACCTTTTCCTTTGCTAAAGTTTGTTGCCTTTTACTTAGCTTCATTTTTCTTGAAATCAAAACCAAAGGCTTTCTAAAGGATTAGTTTCAGCCAAGCAAAAAAAATGAATGATCATGATACACAATAGTATGGTTTGTTTGAGGGTACACTATTGTGTCCAGCTGCTTCCTGAGGTGATTGTTTTTTTCTTTTACTTGAAAGTAAATTGAAATCAATTGCAAGTAAGTTGAAATCAATTGAAAGTAGCTCGAAATGAATATGATCATGATACACAATAGTATGGTTTGTTTGAGGGTACACTATTGTGTCCAGCTGCTTCCTGAGGTGATTTTTTTTTTTTACATTCCCTTTGCATTTTCCTTTGCTAAAGTTTTTTCTTTTATTTTCTCAAATAGTTTCTTTTATTTAGAATTCTCAGAAATGCTCAATTTCCAAAAATATATGATGCCTTAATAAAACCCAATTAAAAAACATCACTCAAACAATTTTTGAAGGGGGTAGTCCATGAGCAACCCTGATACACAATAGTGTGGTTTGTTTGGGGGTACACTATTGTGTCCAGCTGCTTCCTGAGGTGATTTTGTTTTTTAACATTCCCTTTACATTTTCCTTTGCTAAAGTTTGTTTCCTTTTACTTAGCTTCATTTTTCTTGGAATCAAAACCAAAGGCTTTCTAAAGGATTAGTTTCAGCCAAGCAAAAAAAACATGAATGATCATGATACACAATAGTATGGTTTGTTTGAGGGTACACTATTGTGTCCAGCTGCTTCCTGAGGTGATTTTGTTTTTTTAACATTCCCTTTGCATTTTCCTTTGCTAAAGTTTTTTTTATTTTCTCAATTAGTTTCTTTTATTTAGAATTCTCAGAAATGCACAATTTCCCAAAATATATGATGCCTTATTAAAACCCAATTAAAAAACATGACTCAAACAATTTTTCAAGGGGGTAGTCCATGAGCAACCCTGATACACAATAGTGTGGTTTGTTTGGGGGCACACTATTGTGTCCAGCTGCTTCCTGAGGTGATTTTTTTTTTCAACCATTTCCTTTTCTTTTTCCTTTGCTAAAGTTTGTTTCCTTTTACTTAGCTTCATTTTTCTTGGATTCAAAACCAAAGGCTTTCCAAAGGATCAGTTTTAGCCAAGCAAAAAAAAACATGAATGATCCTGATACACAATAGTATGGTTTGTTTGAGGGTACACTATTGTGTCCAGCTGCTTCCTGAGGTGATGTTGTTTTTAACATTTCCTTTACATTTTCCTTTGCTAAAGCTTTTTTTTATTTTCTCAATTAATTAGTTTCTTTTATTTAGAATTCTCAGAAATGCACAATTTCCCAAAATATATGATGCCTTATTAAAACCCAATTAAGAAACATGACTCAAACAATTTTTCAAGGGGGTAGTCCATGAGCAACCCTGATACACAATAGTGTGGTTTGTTTGGGGGTACACTATTGTGTCCAGCTGCTTCCTGAGGTTATGTTTTTTTTTCAACCATTTCCTTTTCCTTTTCCTTTGCTAAAGTTTGTTTCCTTTTACTTAGTTTCATTTTTCTTGGAATCAAAACCAAAGGCTTTCCAAAGGATTAGTTTCAGCCAAGCAAAAAAAACATGAATGATCATGATACACAATAGTATGGTTTGTTTGAGGGTACACTATTGTGTCCAGCTGCTTCCTGAGGTGATTTTGTTTTTAACATTTCCTTTACATTTTCCTTTGCTAAAGTTTTTTTTATTTTCTCAATTGAAAGTAAATTGAAATCAATTGAAAATAAATTCAAATCAATTGAAAGTAAATTGAAATCAATTGAAAATAAATTCAAATCAATTGAAAGTAAATTGAAATCAATTGAAAATAAATTCAAATCAATTGAAAGTAAATTGAAATCAATTCAAAATAAATTCAAATCAATTGAAAGTAAATTGAAATCAATTGAAAGTAAATTGAAATCAATTCAAAATAAATTCAAATCAATTGAAAGTAAATTGAAATCAATTCAAAATAAATTCAAATCAATTGAAAGTAAATTGAAATCAATTGAAAATAAATTGAAATCAATTGAAAGTAAATTGAAATCAATTGAAAATAAATTCAAATCAATTGAAAGTAAATTGAAATCAATTGAAAATAAATTCAAATCAATTGAAAGTAAATTGAAATCAATTGAAAATAAATTCAAATCAATTGAAAGTAAATTGAAATCAATTGAAAATAAATTCAATTGAAGGTAAATTGAAATCAATAGAAAATAAAATCACATTTCGCAATTTGAAAGAGTAAAAGTAAATTGAAATCAATTCAAAATAAATTGAAATCAATTTAAATCTATCAATTTTTTTTGATTTTACACTATTCTGTACCCGGTTCCTTGTTTTTTCCACACTATTCTGTAACGCAAATTTGTTTGGGGGGGGGGGGGCCTCCCCACACTAATCAGTAACCTACATTATAAATGACAATTTTCAATAGCTATGTTAGTTTACCGGAGGGTACCCTATGACTTAGGAAACGGCACTGCTACCATGGCGCCTCAGCCGTTCCACCTCCGGAACCACATCCGGCAGCCAGGCCAACAACAGCCAGCGACCATCGATGTTTTCGCTGACATCTGCACGGAACAACAGGAAGCTGGGCCTTCAGCTGGTGAAAATCGGAAGTTCATATCCCACATGAAATTACCATGAAATCCCCAATAAATGGATTAATGTGCCATGGTCATACATAGATTAATATGGATTATATAATGTGGTATGGTCATCCCACAATCAGGGATTCTTTCCGCCGTGCAAATCCCTATTAATGATTGATGACCAGCCCCCAATATTGGAAAACAACCCACGTTTTGACGGAATGCAGCGCGCACGAAGTCGCACCACCAACGCCCCTTCCCGGTTAAGGGGGGTAGGAGGTGCAAGGAGGCGGGCAAACCGAGAATGGAAAGCACGCAGCTAACTACAATGTACTGGCAGTATGCCAGGGAAATGTCACACTAAGAATAGCAGTTGACAAAACACGTCGCGCGGTCGTCCCTTGCCGAGTGAAAAGCCAATGGCATACAGAAACAGCAATGTTGTCAGAGCTGCTTCGAAAATGACAGATCTTAGAAAGCTGTACAGCAACAAGCTCAAGCACAAAGGCAAGCAAGAGAGTTTTGGCAAACAAGTACAAGCAAGCATCAACTGCAAGCAAATCAAGACAAGGAAAAACCTGTCACAAAGTGCAGGCACCAAACTGTTGGTAAACTTGGGGTGTTCCGCCCTCCGGCTTTTTTACTTTTTGTATTGTGCGGTCACGACCTCCTACTCAATGACAAGCTCGGGTGGCAAGCTATCAACATCATCGAAGTCAGACTGACAAGCCAGAACCTACAAGTGATGCACAAGAGTGCGCTGGTAGGCTAGAACACACTTATGGCTCAAGTCCGGGGCAAAGGCTGAAGTCACCGGCAAATCAGGGCATTGCAGAAAGCGAGTGACATGAGCCCATACACAATATCCTCCGCAAAGCAATCCAACGACACACACACACACCATGCCATGAGGGTTTGGGTTTCTGCATTCTGGTGTTGGCATCACACCTCCACCATCTGTCATGATTTCAAGATGCTTGGCCAGGCCAAAGGCATGCGAGCAAACAACGGACGTCAATCTACTCCATGGTTCAAGTGTCATCTTCAAGAGGTAACTGTCTGTGATGTCATGTGGACGCGACCTGACTTCAGTCCCATGCCACGGAACTGACTGATATTTCACCGAAAGATGAGAAGTATCCACAAGACCGGACAACAGAACCTCTGAAGATCCAATAGCAACCACCCGAAGGCCAATCAAAGTCAAAACACAAGTCACTCGATAGTGGCAGGGGCACACCGAAAGCAATGGGGTCACATACGTGGAAGCCTGAGCCCAGAGGCTACCCACGTTTTGACCGTAGCACATAATGAGGTAAACCAAATGATAATATCATCCCAAACTGGAAATTTAGCCACTAATAAACCCCGTTTGAGGATTGCTTTCTATTGGTTTTACCTAATTATGGCTGGCGTCTATCGCTTTAATGTGTACATATATATATATACAGAGATATATATATATATATACATCACTTTGATTAACTTTGTATGACCGGGCTATAGATGACTATGATTTTGCTAGCTATTCCCAACTCGCTGGGATACATATCCTACAGTAGATGATCCTAGTAAGCTTGGTATAACTGGTTTTCATATCCATACGGTATTGATTGCTATCTCACCGATGTCTGGGATATTATGCCATCAGCTCCTCCAAAGGCCCCAAATCTCTGCAAATCCAAGGGACTTATCAGGCTCCAACAAACCTCGCAGGGCACGGCATGGTATTCCATCAGGCATGGACGGTCATGGTTCATCGTGGTGTTGGTACGGGCACAGCTGGACACTCAAACTCCCCCCAGAGAGTCCAGCATGTAATCTTTGGTCGGTAGGAAAAACCCTGCGTTTCGTGATACATTTATATGTCATAGTCACATTTCCTCCACCTGAGACTGATTTGAAATTCTGACCCCCATGCCCTGCACCCCCCAGGGACCCCAACCTTGCACACAACGCGCAAACTCCTTGTCCAAAGTTTCGCCCTCTCCAGAGCAAAACATCAGATTTCACCCCTCGGATTTGGGTACCTAAAAATGGCTTCAAGATGCTTCAAGCAGCATTTTCAGGGTTGCTCCCACCCCCTTGAAGAGGTAAAATGACTAGTTCCCCCCTGTGGCTATAACGGTTACGTATGGATTGGAGCAATCCTGATCCATTGTGTTCTCCGTTTCAAGACGCGCGAAGCGCTACCCGTTATTTTGCGAAGATATCCTAATGGAAGTTGCCGGATGATTTGGGTTTTGTTCCCAACTCATGTTGCCAGTCACCAGCATCATGGTTTGTCCCCCCTCCGGTCGGCCTCATCCGGCATGGAATTGGCCAGTGCCAGTGCATAGCGCTCCTCGCTGGAGGACTTCTTCGTAACAATGGCCTCCAAGCAACGCCAACGCAACGCCCACAAGGATCGGGGATCAGGTTTTGGGGGCATGGAGTGAAGCCCGTTTGTTGGGGGAAATCCATGATTTCTGTTGCTCAAATCACAGTTCTACAGATCAAACAACCCTATGTCATCCTATTTTCGTCTGTCGGATCTGAAAATAGGGTGCCTAAAATCCAGCGATTTATCAGCATCGTTTCCAATTGTTATCCATTGGGTATTCCCTGTGATTTGGAATCTTGTGTTGATTAAATCCCTATTTTGGTTCCCATTTTCTTGGCTTAATATCTTCACTTTCTGACCCACCTATCCTGCCAGAAAAAACATAAATCTTACTGGGTTAAATCATGTTTCTTGCTTCAAAACTCCAAAAAACGCTCGAATCCACCCATGTCCACTTATAAACTCTTCATCATTTAAGTTTTGTTCAGGTGACATTTGACATCTTCAACATCTATTTTGCCATATTTTGGGGTTGAAACATGGAAAAAAAAACGCCCCTTTCTGTTGGTCAAACAGCCCCTTTCCCACCACCTTGACCCCTCGCAGGCAGCGACTCCGGGCCGCCCGCAAAGTCTGTCGCAGCTGGCCGTCCACCGAGTCAGCCATGGCCGATCCGAGGTGATCACCGGAATCGCTCGACAAATTCATATATACTTAATATATATATATTTATTTATTTATTTATTTCCCCACCTGCCAGGTGAGGGTTGTTAGATTTTATGTCAGTTGCCTCCTCCTCCTTCTCCTCCTCCTCCTCCTTCTCCTCCTCCTCCTCCGCCTCCTCTCCTCCTCCTCCTCGTCCTCCTCGTCGTCCTCGTCGTCCTCGTCGTCCTCGTCGTCCTCGTCGTCCTTGCTCAACTGCGACCCGCGATCCACAGTGTTCTCTGCCGGACCTCAACCACGACCATCCACGCCCAGTGTTCCTTGCCGGACCTCAACCACGACCATCCACGCCCAATGTTCGCTGCCGGACCTCAACCACGACCATCCTCGCCCAGTGTTCCCTGCCGGACCTCAACCACGACCATCCACGCCCAGTGGTCCCTGCCGGACCTCAACCGCGAGTATCCACGCCAAGTGTTCCCTGCCGGACCTCATGTAGGAAGATATGGGACAAAGAATGTGCAGAAGAAAGTTAGAAAAAATGTCAGAAAGAATGTCAGAAGATATGCCAGAAGATATGCCAGAAGATATGCCAGATAGAATGCCAGATAATATGCCAGAAGATATGCCAGATAGAATGCCAGAAGATTTGCCAGATAGAATGCCAGAAAATATGCCAGAAGATATGCCAGATAGATATGTCAGAAGATATGCCAGATAGATATGTCAGAAGATATGCCAGAAGATATGCCAGAAGATATGCCAGAAGATATGTCAGAATATATGCCAGAAGATATGTCAGATAGTATGCCAGAAGATATGTCAGAATATATGCCAGAAGATATGCCAGATAGAATGCCAGAAGATATGTCAGATAGAGTGCCAGAAGATATGTCAGATAGAATGCCAGAAGATTTGCCAGATAGAATGCCAGAAGATATGCCAGAAGATATGCCAGATCATATGCCAGAAGATATGCCAGATAGAATGTCAAATAGAATGTCAGAAGATATGTCAGATAGAATGCCAGAAGATTTGCCAGTAAGAAAATGTATAAATGTCATGGTGGGGATCACACGAAGTAAAGCAATTATTTATTTATTTATTTAGTTATTCATTTATTTTTTTAATTATTTATATGTAAATATTTATATATATATATATACACTTATTTTGATATATATATATATTTATTTAGTTATATATGTTTATCTGGATCATATTTATCGATAAAACACTTTTTTCATGTGCTTCCAGCATGCTATAAATATTTACATCTATACCTCATATATTTCCAGATGTCCAAGAATGTCCAAGTGGTCGGCAATGGGATCTTGAGTCGCCCATTTGGAGATTTCCTGAAATGGGGGTACCCCTACATCATCCATTTATAGATGGATTTTCCATTATAAACCATCTATTTTGGGGTACAGTACCCCCATCTATGGAAACATACTTTGTTTGGGGGATACAAAACCAGGAAAAAAACTGCCAGAGACATTGAAACAAGGCACAGCAAACAATGGAAATCGAACATGATGGAAATAGCCTGCAGAATCCGTGTAGAGGCTTCATGAGGCTTCCTTTGCAGCCTTTGAGCCCAAAGGCTAGGAGGATCCCATGGTTTCCCCCACACAAAATCTATCCGCTAGAAGCCGTAAATTTGTAGATCCCATTGAACCGCCGGTGAATTTCCGGTTACTAGGACCCTATGCCTATGCCCATCTTTGGTTCCTTGCGCAGCTACGTGATACTGGGATGAAGTTTGAAGTTTTGACGCATCCCAAGTGTGGCAAATTTGGAATGGTTGCCATTTGGCAATTTAAGAGTTTAGTATGACAAAACACAATTAGAATAGGTAAATCGTCCAACGAAATGGGCCATGGCTTAAATAGCTGTGTTGATTGATTACTGGAGGGCATGCTGTATCATGCTATATCATGCTATATCATGCTGTATCATGCTATATCATACTCCATGGATTAATCATTGTTCTCTCCCCATTGAAGTTGCTGTGAGCTATGGGGATACCCCATTTTGAGACACACCCTTTTGACTGCACTAAACCTTGAAAAACTTCAGGTTCCATGATGTAATTCGCGGTACAGATCCCTCGCGTGGTTTGTTGATTCGTATCCCACAGCAAACATGGTTGTCCCCATGGGAAAAGCAAACAAATGTGCAAAGACATGTCTTTATTCATGTGCATAGGTGTACGTGCCATATGTATTATATTTATAGACATGTAATAGCCATGATCACAGACATGTGGTAATTATGTATCTATACATATTATACATATAAATATGTGATGTGTATATGTATACATAATATACGGTATGTATATATATATAAATAGACAAATATATATATATAATTATACACATCCCCACTACTATGTCTACACATCCCCACTTGACGCCTCCGAATCCCCACCTTCTCCGGTAGTCCAGCGATCTGGGCCACATTATGGCCGTGGGAGGCGGGACAAAGTCCTTCGAGTCGTCAAGGAGGCTGGAACAAATATGAGTATATTATATGCTTATAGTGGTTATCATGGATAAAAACCACTAGTTTATTAGTCCTTCGAGTTTGATTAATATCATATTATAACCATTATAAACCATGTTATAAACCATTATAACATGTGATTCTTAATATAATGTGTATATATATAATTAGATTTATCTGGATTTTATATATCATATTAAAATGGTTATAGTGGAAAATCTTACTAGAATTAAGGGGTACCCCTATTTCAGGAAACCTCCATTTAGATCATATTTATCTCCATAAATCACTTTGTTTCATGTGTTTCCAGCATGCTATAAACACTTACATTAATACCTCATATATTTCCAGATGTCCAAGATTCTCCAAGTGGCCGATCTATTTTGGGGTTGCTATTTTTGTGAGTTTCAAGCCAGTAATGTGATCTTAAGCCACCCATTTAGAGGTTTCCTGAAACGGGGGTACCCCTAAATCATCCATTTATAGATGGATTTTCCACTATAAACCATCCAGCTATTGCGGTATCCCCATTTCAGGAAACCTCCATATGAGTTTGATTTAATACCATAACAAATAAACCTCACTAGAACACCATTAAATTTATTAAATATCACACCGGATCAGTAAACAATATAACCCAAGTAATACTTGTATAAATACATTATAACCTCAATGATATAAATCTGGCTGAATTGGAATATTTCACTCAGCTGAAAATATATCAAATAAGGCTGTTTGATGATGATTAACTATGTTTAATCAATATCATATGGGTTTGTCTGAAAATAGCTATCCCCCAAATTCGACGGTTGATGGTTAATCACCATGTTCCTTCCTTGGAACGGCCATTATACGAGTTATTCTCATCGTCCCTCTGGTAAACTGTCCCACAACTATTGAAAACCCACGCGTTTTTATAAGTAAACCATCTGTAAATGGACCATTTTCCATAGCTATGTTAGTTTACTGGAGGGTAGCTATTTGTGGTTCAATGGGGGGAGCCTCTATTTATCCAAAAACGCTCTTGAATCTATAGGTTTTGATCCCAAGAATGGCAGTTCTTGAATCAACTGGCATGAGAAGAACAAGGAAAAACATGTGGGGATTCTACCCGGTACATAAATATCGGATATTACCAATGGGATCCCATGGGATTGTTTAATTGAAACATGCACCAGAAGATTCCACAAAACATGGAGGTTTCGCCCCAAAATCATCAGGAAGATTTGCAATACACCATGGTTTACCAGAGGGTATTAAGCAAGACCTTTCATGTGATTGCATACGATTCTTTGACAAACCGTAAATCATACTGAGTGTACATTGACGTTTAGAAATAACAGCCCCTTATTTGGGACCATACCATTTGGATGTTTAATGTTGGGGTGATGGGAGTAGTACAGTATATTGCCCTTCACAACATTACCGGACAGTACATACCCTGTATACCCTTAGTAGAGTCCATGATGGTCAACACCCAAAAGTCACAGAATGGTCAAGTTCTGTGGGGATGTGTTCACCATCATGTTTGCTTTGATTTGATGAAGTCAAACCTACTCCATGATGGGGAATGCTTTTAGCCACTTAAATATCCAGGGGTACTAAGACGCGGTGTGTGTGTGTATATACATATATAGATATAATAACCAATTTATATCAACTTACTGACTATTTAAGCTTATTTAAACAGTTGGGCAATTATAATATGTCACGAATCTGAAATAAGTAATGTTGGAATAATTTCCACTTACAAGTCCCATTTTTTTAAGGCTTCGGCCGCAGGTCGTTCCAAAAATTACCAGCTGAACCATGGATTCAAAATTTCATCAGGATCCTCCCAATCAAAGGATTATTTGGAACCTAATGATTGGATTATCCGATTATCCACATGATTTGGAACCGAATTACATGAATTCCCCTCCCAAACAGATGGCAAAATTCCATGGATTGATTTCTTTTGGACCAAAAAAACCGTTTTCCCATGGATTTTCTGACCCAGATCGTCCGATCGTCCCATTGGAAGGGACATCCCATTGGTAACCATCCAGCTCGTAAGGAAAGCATCTATAAATGGAACTTGGAGATAGCTAAACTATCTATATCTCCAAAAACATGAAAAGGGATTAAACTATTTCCAATCCATCTGACCCATCCAGTCTTCCTGGAAGGAACTTGTACAAGAACGTCATCTCATTGGTTACGTTGTTTACAGTGGCGGCCATGTGAAAAGGTGCCACCTGCGCGCCGGTGTCATGCCCGATGTTGGTTGATATTCCCATGAAAATCCAAGATATCATGAATATATCCAATATATCATGATATATATATATATATGTTTTAATATATATATATATACACACACACATAAATCGCCATAAATCCAATAGGAAACCGAGATATAAGCTTAGCTATCGAATGCTATCGAAAGAATTGGAGCACCACCTTGAGCAATATACAAGGCCAGACCAGATCACTCTCAGATCCTCGTTAGATGCCATGACCATGGCTGTATGGCTGAGGTTTCCCGGGTTTCCCATCTCGGACATGTCGGACAACAAATCCATACATACATATATACATATAGTAATATATATATATATATAGTATCATATATATTATATTATATGATATTACATTATATTAAATTATATTTTATTATATTATATTATATTTTTAATATTATATTATATTACATTAAATTATCTTATATTATATTACATTACATTCTATTAAATTATACATATTATATTATATTATATTAGATTATATTATATAATATTATATGATATTATACTATATGACATTATATTAAATTAAATTATATTACATTAAAATTTATTATATATATTATATAAAATTTTGTTACATTAGATTATATTATATTATATTACATTACATAATATTAAATAATATATATTATATTTTATCATATTACATAACATTATATTAAATCATATTATATTACATTTTATTATATTTTATTACATTATATTATTATATAATATTAGATTACACTATATTATATTATACTGATACTATATTTTATTATATTATATTTTATTGTATTAAATTATATCATATTCTTACATTATATTATACTATATTTTATTAAATGTGAACCCAACCCCTGATGTAAAGTGCCTAGTTGTCTGACCCCTTCTGTTTGTAGGGCTACTGGGGAGCCGCGTTGAGTTTACTCCGCTTGCTCCTGTCACTTTTTGGCTCAAGATGGTGAGCTGTGACTCCGGTTTCACTGCAGCTTTGCAAAGCAAGGTTGTGGCGCGACTGAGCAGTAGCCGACCGTGCGACAAAGGGTGACAAAAGGTGATCTCTGGGCCGGTGAGGTGAGACTGGCGGGACCCCCCCCACCCTTAGGTTCGCATATGTTATATTATATGATATTAAATTATATTATATTACATTATATTATATTATATTAAATTATTTTATATCATATTAAATTACATTATACAATATTATATTATATTATATTTTGTTATATCATAATATAATATTTTATTATTAAATTATATTATAATATATTACATTAAATTATATTATATGATATTACATTATATTATATTATATTACATTAGATTATATTATAATACGTTATGTTATATTACATTATAATATATCATATTATATTACATTATATTATATCATGTTATATTACATTATATTATATTATATTCAATTTTGCTAAATAATAAAATATAATATTTTATTCAAAAAATATTCTTATATTATTTTAGATTATATTATATATATATTGAATATTAAATCATATATGATATATATATATATATTAGTATGTGTATATATATATATTTTATTTTATGTATAAATACTATATATATTACATATATTACATTTATAATTAAAATTATCTATATTATATATTATATATATATTTATTGTATATATAATTTATATTATATGTATTATATATTATAAATATATATATATTGTAAATATTGTATAATATACATTTACAATATATATATATATATATAGTATATTATATTATATATCTATATTGTATATCATATATATTCTTCTATATATATATTGTATTTACTATTTTAAAATATATAATAACCCGCATAAAAGCATTGTTCAACAAAAACCGTGTTACAGTCTCATACAAGCCCACGAAATTTGTTCCTCAACATTTCTGAAGATCCGATTTGTTTTCTGTTTCAAATTTGTTGGGTGTTTTTTCTTCTGATGTTACATTATATTATATATCACATTATATTGTCCCAAAAAAAACATCTGTTTCCCCGTTCAGAACTTCGCTGACCTTGGCCGTGTCCTCTACGGCCTTCTTGGAGACAGGATGGTAATGGGTGGCAAAGAGCACCTCAGCTGGAGATGAACAAAAATCCAACATCGGGGGAAGTAACAAGAGAAATCTCAACGGATGGAGACATGTCTGGTTATTTTTTGTTTAATAATGTTTAATCACCAGGAGAAAAAAAAAGGGAATTTAAAGATCACCAGGAAGGTGACTGTACCATACTGTACCATGGATCATCAATTTTTTTCGGATAAAAGCTACAGTGATACTACCTTTCCAGGGGAGGGACCGCCAGGACCATCGGTCAACTTGCTGCCTGTTGTTTTTCGAAGAACCATTTCCTGGAAATGTACAATGAATTACCACCTTAGTGGTTAAGAGTCCATATGAACTGGCATGTCTAACTGGCGTATACTCTGTTGAAATTTCATGCATACCAACCTGTTCTTGGATGAATCCCTGAATATCGACCCCATGTTTGACACACCCCAGATATCACATTGGCTATCCCATCATATCTCGGCATTTTGGTTGGTTAGTAGCTGCTGGGCTTCCCGTTTTTTGAAAAATGGATACAACCATATCCTCCAAACGGTCCCCTCCATCACGAATAGTCACGTCCCAAGTTTCTCATGGTTAAAAATCAACTGTTCACGAAACTTTTTTCTGTGATAGAAATTGATACAATCAATTAAATACAATAATTAATTCATCAAACAAATTGTGAAAAGCCACAAGTGTTCACGGTTCTCATGGTTTCAGATGGGGCTCCAAACATTTGGCCACAAAACCAACCTTGAAATGATAGCTGAAGGTACTTCAAAATAGTTGGCGAACTGATTTCCGATGTGGACTTTGAAACCCTGGCTCCATTTTTTGGGTTCCGATATCCGCTATGGTTCCAATATAGGGTACTAATACATGGCCTGAACCCCTGATCGATCCAACTCTAACCAGGTGCTGTTGGGTTTCCCACATTCCTTGTCTGTGCGAGGGTCAAAGTCACAGTATGTACTATGGGGTATGGTCATCCCATAATCATCTGGTTGGTGGTATACCTACCCCTCTGAAAAATATATAAAAATATGAAAGTCAGTTGGGGTTACTATTCCCAATATATGGAAAAATAAAAACATGTTCCAAACATTTCCAAACCACCAACCAGTCATGAATGGATTCCTTACACTGAGTAAATTAGCCACTATTCATGGGGGGATGACATTGCGCTTTTATGGGAAAACACTCCAACTTGTTATTGAAGTTAAGGTGATAAGTTTATAAGGCTTCTATTTCCCCTTGATTGTTCCCATGAAATCACTATGTTTGATGGGAAAACTACGTAACTTGATTGACCATGGCAATCATGACATTAATAGATTTTTAGTTATATAATATATTTCCAAATATTTCCATATTACCCCTATTCCTATCCCACTAAATCATACTAAAACCATTTTCACATGGTACAATATCCAACAATATCCACGAAAAATCGTTGATTTCTTCGAGTTTTCCCACAAAATCATCATGAAGATCCCATAGAAAAATCAACAATTTATGTTGATTTCCATTGGTTTTCCCAGTGTTTTCCCAATTTCAATGGTTCCACCGAGTTCCCAGTCCGCTGCGCCCAGGTACCGGGCAGCCCACCGTCTTCAACTCCTTCAAGACCGCCGAGGCAATTGCCGCGCCATCGAAGGTGGCGGTGCCGCGCCTGGATCCGAGAAAAAGGTGGGAAACCCTCTGGTAAACTAACATAGCTATTGAAAATGGCCATAGAAATAGTTGATTTTCCCATTGAACAGGGTGATTTTCCACGGTTATGTTAGTTTACCAGCGGGAAAATCATGGAAAATCCTGATCGAACCATCCGGGAAAATGATGAAGACCTGTGAAAACCTATCGGTTTTTTCGTTGAAATATGGTGAAGAAATTCTGATGTGCAGAGACTGGTGAAAGAGATGTTTCTCTGAACCATTGATAAATAATTGTTTTTTTTGAGAAATGATAAACAAGTGGAAATTTGATTTGGCTGCGGTGACTGCGGTGGGGAGTACACGGAGTACACGGAGTCCAGGGAAAGCTGAGATTTCACCAACAATGTTGAGATATGTCTGAGATGAGATCAACATCAACCATGAAAAAACTGAGGTGACAGCCTGTGACAGCGAATTGGAGATCTTCACCAAACAAAATGATGCAAAATGGGGATCTCAGACATGTAGAAACAACCACAAGGGATCTTCGACAAAAATGGGCACCAAAAAAATGATCCCACAACTTGCAAACATCTGGAGATTTCAACTTTTCAACCACCAAACGTCGGAAGATCCAGGAAAATTTCCTGGGAAATCCAACATGTGATCTGGTATTCAAACGTGCCACTTGAAAATCCCCTGTAAATGGAGGTTTAGTTCCCTGGGAAAATCCTCGAAGCAAATGGAGGATTTTCCAGCCATGATTGATGCCCGGAGGGTATCCTTTTTGGAGATCACCTTCCATTTTCGAAGATCATCTCAATTTGTGGTTTATAACCCTAGCTGGTTGGTGGTTTCAACCACTCTGAAAAATACGAAAGTCGCTGGGACTATTATTCCCAATATATGGAAAAATAAAAAATGTTCCAAACCACCAACCAGCTAGGGTTGTCCTATAGAACCTGCCACTTCCTGCTCGGATCTGTATTTCCAGTTGCTGAGCTGGCATTTGTCTCCCTAGTTGGCCCTAGTTGTTGGGGTTATGTCAATTCTGTCCCAATTTGTGGAGTTTGTTTCCGCCGTGATTGTACCAACATATTTACACTTACTCGTACTGTTTGTTGGTCACATCCCCAATTTCACCTGAAATGGGTTGTAGAAACCATCCTGAAAATTGCAGGTTGATGGCATTGCGTGAACCACATTATAATATTATATGATATGTTTTCCATATGTTTCTACCTTTCTCACCAATTTTCCACAGGTTTCCACCATTTGTCCATGTTCTTCCATAGATTTCCCATAGCTTTCCACCATTTGTCTCCACCAATGTGGTGGCTTATCCCAGATCTGCCCCTGCGGCGCCAAGCAGCCCCAACTCATCCAACACCGCGAGACTCCTCGGAGTCCCATGCGCCAGCAACGCCGCCGTCTCCTGCGGACTGA